GGGGGGGGGGGGGGATTATTGTTATGTCTAATTGTCTATTATTATATCTATAGTGTGTTTTACTAAGCTTATGTGAAGTTAAAAGTGTTTATTTTAAGTCGTTGAAGGTTTTACCTAAGTTAATAAGAAAAGATGTATGTTTTTGTAATAGCAAAAACTGTCAAAAGTTAGAAAAAAGAAGAAGTTTTCCTTATAAATGCTCTTAGAACCAACTAATTTTGTTTGTGCAATTATAATACAGTCCAAAGTGAAATAAATATATAATCGATTAGGTCATAGGGGTTGTTCAAATGGTAAACATTTTTTGCCCCCAACCTCAAAGTTTATGGGTTCGAGTAAACAAGAAAACAAATCTACAATGGGCCTTAATCCACAAGTCAGTTCATTTCTGGAGTTCTACTTGGGCCTTAATTGGACTTTGTTGTATACATAAAGCCCATTTAAACTAGTTTGTTGCCTGCTCATTTTGCTCAAATAACTTTTTAAGTGTTCTTTAATTGTTTAGAAATTTGCTGACTTTCTACCGATGTTTCCGTCGGTAATCAGTCTATCGGAAACAGTTTCCAACGAGCACATTTTTTGTAGATTTCGGAGGAAATATACGTATTTCTAGTAGATATGAGATTTATTCAAAATGAATTTGAGTTAATCGGGCTCATTGAATTTAGAATAATAGTATATATATATTAAAAGAAAACATGGACTCAAAAGTCTCTTTAAAGTTTCTAATTAGATGGCTATTGGGAAAAAATGAATGCTAAGACTAAGAAAGATGATCATGTGGGGGTATATTTGCACTTTTGCATCTATTTTGTATTGGTCTTTAATTTTTGCTCCAAAAAATAAATAACGTTTTCACAATATATAAATTTATATTTTCGCATCATAATATATCTCACAATATCTTGCGCCCATAAATGACTTTTGTTCTCTTAGGCATTAGTTTGATTACTAAGAGCAAAAATTGCTGATTGCTCATTTGAAGGGTAAAAATTTAAGACCAATCCATTTGAAGGATAAATTGTGCAATTATATGTTGTATCACACTATCATCTCTTTATAAATTTAATGTTTAAATATTTATATTAATACATTTTTTAACTAAAAAAAATCTCACTAAGGGTTCATTCTATCCCACCCCGTCAGCTTAGTGGGATGGGATGGGCCAACATTTCGTCCCTCTATCTCGTCCCACTAATGTCACGATCTCACCTCTCTTGACATGTCTCATCCCACTAAAACCCTCTCATGAATATTAACACGACTAGGAATAATATGCATATAACGTCCATCCCTTCCCAGCTTAGTGGGATGGGGACGGGCCTAGTGTTCGTCCCCATATCCCGTCTCACTAACATTCGGTCTACCCTATCTTGTTAAGTCCTTATTCTGCCCCATCCCGTTAGACATCGGTAAGTACCCTATCACAAATATTCAAACATGACTAGTAACACACATATAAGGTCCATCAAACTTTCCACAAATTAGGCCAATCAAAAAGAAAAATCTCATATTACTTTGACTATCTTTATTTTGATGTATGTAAGATTTAGGACATGGACCTAACAACAACTAGAGCAATAGTAAAACCTTTAATGAAATACACTATTTCTCTTCTAGACAAGTCATTTAATTTAGCACGTCCAAACCTTCGACGTATCAAACAACCAAGCCAATGTATACTAGTGTTCGATTTCACATATCTCATAATCACAAACTCGAGGTTTTACGGCTTACTGAAACTAATACATATGATTAAAAGCTACAAAATATTTTAAGCATTAAATAATTTATGTAATGAGCACTTCAGAATTCACATAAGACATATTTTTCGTCACAAAAAAAAGGGCAAAAAAAAGGTTTTGCAAGCTTTATATATAAAGAGCTCAAAATTCTCCTTAATTCAATATCATCGATGTGTATTACCAAACATCCCATCTAAAACTCTTGTCCAAGCTTTATAACAAGATTTTGATATATATTTTTATATGATTGAGAAACCTGATAATTCTTAAAACCAATCGCAATTTATGAAACTTGAAGACGGTGAATTTATCTAATTTATTTTTCTTCACTTAAATATCAAAATTAGTATGCACTTGAAACCTAAATTACAAACCCCTCTTTGTCACTTGAACTAAGGCCCTGTTTGGGTTGTCTTATTGAGGTATTTTAATCTAAAATATCTTTTAAGCATTTATGGAGTGTTTGAGTAAATAAAAAAAGTGTTTATAAACACTAATTTTTAAGCTAAAAAAATAAATATAAATCAAATGTCATAAATTGGAATTGGCCCGTATTCATAAAATGATCCACAATTGTTAGTTCAATATTCATTCAGAACATCGACAACAATAACATAAACGGTACACATTGCCTTAAGCCTCCAAATTTTAAGGGGGCTCATTTTTTAGAATCATAGGCTTATAAGATTTCTTAGTTTAAAAAAGAGATAACTTGTAAGAAAATGCAAAATGCATATGAATTATTAAGTTTTTGTGTGTTTTACATCTCGATAATCACTTATATCTTTTTATATAAAATATTATTTTCTTGAAAAAACAAAATAAAGGACTTTAATTGAAGTTTGACTTTAGTTAACCAATAGTATTGGGCAACTATTGATTTTATGCACTTATTCCTTTTATAAAATATTATTTTCTTGAAAAACCAAAATGGAGGACTTTCATTGAAGTTTGACTTTAGTTAACCAATAGTATTTGGCAGCTATTGATTTTATGCACAATTTTCCTTATCTTGAAATGTAAAAGGGTTGTTTCTAATACTATAAAAACTCATGCAATTCAAGTAATTCTCAAGATATAACATAGTTTCTCTATTCATACGAACACAAATAGATTATGTAAATATTTGCTCGAACTCAAGATCTTACTTATCAAATATTATGGTGAAAGATATAATTTTTTTGAACTCACTATGATATTCCTGATTCATACATAATATCAGAAAAAATGGGATACAAATTTAATAATGATTCTATAGGCTAGGTCAAAATATAATAACAATGAGAACAACAGCAACTTCAAAGTTTTTCTCAAAATCTTTGATGCACAACAACAAATATTTTACAGGAAAACCCTAAAAATTTAGCAATTCCCAACTCTTCATAATTTTCAAATCATGCATTTTAAGCCCTTCTGAAAACCACAATTATTACGACAATATAGTCATCCCTAATTGCACTCCATAACTATATAATGTTATTTGGTCATTATAGTTCCTAATGAAAGTCGCGACTTTCTTAAGTTATGAGGTCATTAATTATGAGTTATGACATTTACGAAGGGTGAAACCCTCTATTTTTTTAAAAGAATTGTTTAAAGAGGAAATTCTATTCATGATCTTCAATACACTCTAATTGTCAAAAGAAAATGTTACAAACATTAACTACTTTCTTTTTTTAGGTTGTTTTTTTCATATATAAAAGGGAAATTTGAAACTATTTAGCTTCAAATCTTTATTTTACCATAAAGACATGCTCTTATATCCATGAAAAATGTGACATTTAAGGGATATATTTAAGATCATGAGAAAAGCTTAATTCAAAATTTGAAATACATAAATTTTGAAATTTATTTTTCCATCCATCTCAATTTGTTGGTCCTACTATTTCTTTTAGTCCATCCAAGGAATATATATCTTTTCTTTCTGACCACTCCTTAATTCTAACTTTCTCTGTTCCATTTCTAAGACCACAGATTAAAAGATATTTGAGGACATTCAACATGATCTTAGTTTAAGATCTCAAAATTTAATTATTTTTTTATTTTCTTAACATAGTGACGAAACAAAACCAGACATATAAATTAAAACAAAATATTACAATTTTCCAAACGAAAATGTCTAGGTTCTGTTGAATCAGGATTTATCATATCATATCAAACATTGAAAGTAATTCAGTATTTGATATCTACTTTTAATCAACAAATGGCCAAATTACCAAAAATAAATTTTGAAAATATCGAATCAAATACAGAACGCCCACCCTAATGTATAAAATGAAACTAATAAGAGAATATTTGACTGACCTAATGAGCTGTAGATGGGACTCCCCCATATGCAAAAAATGTGAAGGCACCATATGCCAAAGGCCCAAAATAAATCAACTGTAACAAACAATGACAAGAAATGCTCATCAAGAAAAAGAGCTAGTTAGTAATGACAAAAAAATCAGAATCCAAAGAGAACAGTAAGATGCAAATAACACACAAAAAATATAAAAAAAATTCCTTTGTAAATATTTAAATGTTACAATGAAGTATAGACATCGCACTATTAGAAACAAAGATTTTTCACACGCTAATCAATGAAACATTTTTATTACAAACATGATTTTTTTCCATCCATTTTTCATCGAATCAACTCAAAAATAGATTCTCATTGAAATACAGAAAAACTTTCTAATTTTTCTATCGAATCAAAAAATCTATGAAAATAGTCACTAAATATTATTCAAAGGAAAATAGTGATATTTTAAAAGTGTAAGAAGTCGTAGCAAGTGTGTGTTTTTTTGTGTATCTACCTTTTACATTGGAAGTACAGACATACTTACTGCAACATCAGACAGTACGGTCAATTGTTCAGAAAAAATAATTATTATGAACAAGAATAAGAGATGGAAAAAAAAAATACATTATATATCTAGGATATTTTTTTTTTCTGAAACAAAAAATAGATGGACTTCACTTTTATAGAGAAAATAAATATTAGATCGTAAAAAAAAAAATCAGACATTCTTTATCTATAATAATTTTGATAAATTATAGATTATTCGTTTCAAAGGCGGATCTACAATGTTAATCTTTTCTAGAGGGTCAAAAGATGATTCATCCAAACCTCCTTTAACGAAAAATCAAACATATGTATTTTAATGTAAATTATAAGATAAGATATTAAATACTTACAATATCAAACGATCTGGATTCATGAATATTGAAAATTGTTTCTAGTAAAAAAAAAATTAGTCATTATTTGCCGCTGCAGCATCATCAAGATTCCCACACATCGTCATAGGGCTTTTAAAAATTATAAAAGCCCTAATATAGCTATGTGAATCTTGATGATGCTCCACCTGCAAAAAATTGACTTGGAACTATATCATCACGATCTTTATCGATACAATTATAATGATAATAACATATTAAATGTAACTCGAACATGAAAATAAAAAAGGTACTTGACCAAAACCCTAACCCTAGGAAAATATTGAAAGGGAGAAATGGAAAAAAATAATAATATTGGAGTGGTGATGAGAAAATGTGTTAAAGAGTGGATGTATAAATACTAAAATATGTGATGATAAAAAAGTGAATATTATTATTACGAGATATTAGGGATTGGTTGGTGTGTGGTACACTGCAACAGTTACACATCACAATCTTAAGTACCAAAAATTACTCAGAAATTTAATACTATACTTTTACTCAGTCTGTTTAAATTACAGCTTAATATGGAAAATAAATATATTTACTATATTGTAATTGCGTCCTGCAAAAGAATTTTATCAAATTGATTGATGGTGAAGTGTATGTATTAAAGGAGGAAGAGTACTACACGTCAACTATTGTATAGGGTTTAAGGTTTGCATGTGTTAGGCTCGATTAATTGAGATTCGTGCTAAAAAGTTTTGTTCTAAGGGTAAATCGTGTGATCCCGGCATAGTGATCTTTTTTACTCTTCAAGTACAATTTTTATTTTATAGAAGTTCTTTTTTAAAAAAAAATTATTAGAAGTCTATGGTTTTTGATACATATATAGGTAGGTCAAAAACCACCATCACAGTGATTACTATTACTATTCCTTTATTTTTTTTACAATTGTGGTGTGCAAAATTAATTTGTATCAATCTTGATTAATTTTACGAAATATCTATCTTCTCCCATCAGCAATAAATATCATAAGATAATGACAAAAGAAAATACAAGATAATTTAATGCTAATGATATGATTTGTCCATAAAGTATAATAGTTGACAATATTTAAATATATATATATATATATAATACACAGACAAATTTGAATATTTTCTCTAACTATTTGTATTGTTAAAACAAAAGGTGAAAGGACCTACATAAAATGTAAAATCATTTGATTGTTGAAAAAAAATATAAAAACATGTGATGAAGATTCGACTATCTATGAGAACGGTCGATTGTGAAAAGATTGGGTGACATGACAACAAATATTAATAGGAAAAAAGTATAGTTTCTTGTGTACAATCTACTCAAAATATATTGTTATTGTATTAAAATTGCGTATAAGAAATTGTATATAAGAATTATAAAATTATAATTGTCAAGTATTATATTGTAATTTGTATGTATTAAAACTACTTATTAGAAATTGTTATTGTATTAAAACTGGTTCATATGAAATTATATTGAATTATATTGTTATATAAAACTGCTTATTACAAATTGTACCAAATAGTTTCAAAATTATACTATAATTAAATATTTTTACCACGACTTAGTCTATATATTTCTCAGTTTCATTTTATATATCTTATCTAAATATTCATAAAGTTTAACAACGTAAAAGAAACTTTTTTCAAACTTTCAACTTTAATGTATTGAAAAATGTGTTTTTGCTATTAAAACATGTCATATATATATATATATATATATATATATACAAAAATAAATAAATAATAATAATAAAAAAAAAATAAAAAAATAAAAAAAAATATATATATATGAAATCCTAGGTAAATCCAGCTAATAGCAAGGTCAACACAAGTCTAATCAAATACAGTCTAATGTCTTTATCAAAAGCTAAATTACTAATGTGTATTAGTTGACCATTCGTAATTGTTAAAAGAAATGAATCTTGAATCTAATATAATTGTCATAGAAATATTTATAGAGTTAAAAGAAATGAATCTCATATCCAATTTAATTATAAAAACTAATGCATTAAAGGACTAAGAAGATTATCAATTCACTCTTTAATTAATGTAGTGAAACTTTAATCTACTCTAACATTCTACAACACGTATTAGATTATTAATTGAAACTTGAACAATATATTGGGAAGGAGGAGGTGAGAGGATAATATTTAGAAAATATTTAAACTTGATTTCACCTCACATCCATGCCTTCCAACTTTAGACGTGCATAAGTAGGTGCTTAAACTTGTATAAAATTGAATCAATAGACACACGCGTCCTACACAGCATCCTACTTGGCAATTTGAGTCCTATATGACATTCTACGTGTATTATATCACGTAAGACTCATATGTCTACTTCTTGTTCAATTTTATACAAATTTAAGTGTATACTTGCTCAAAATTTACCTATTTTTAATTTAAGATCATAAAATTTATTTTTTTAACTTTCTTAAAATTAAACTTATCAAATTAAAATCTCGAAAAGTTAAAAGACAGAGACATTGATGAATGATGGGGGCGGGGAGAGGGAAACACGGGGTAGTGGGGAGGGCCATGTTCAGATACCCAAAGCCCAACTCTTCACATATCCTCTCGTTTCCGTACGGATTCTTCAATTATTATTACCCCATCCGTCATATTTTATGTGGTATCGTTTAACCTAATATCGAATATAAGAAAAGAAAAAACTAAAAATATGTGGTATGAAATGATTCTTAGATCATTAACGATAAAATGAAAATTTTACAGTTAGATTATTTCTAATTATAATAAGGTGATATTTTTTTTAACAAAATAAAAGGGAGGGAGTATTATTTTTTCATTTGGTGTATGGACACCCACTTTGGACATTATTAATTCAAATTCGTGTCGAAATTTTCATTTAAAATAGTAAAGTGCTTCTTATTAAAGTACAATTTATATTCAGAGTTGAAATTCGAGATCGGAGTAATATTACCACAACTTTAGACGATACTCTTCAATTATTTCTCCGCTTTCTACGCCAACACTGAACTAACTGACGAATGTCTTATGTTCTCTAAATATCCACGCTACTTTGTTTCATGTAGGGATAGCATTATCACTTTTTTGATCGTGGTTGATTTGGAGGTGAATTATATCAATATTAAATTTTATGTAAGTTATATCAAGAAAGATGTGTAATAAGTGATGAGAAAAAATTATATATTATTTCCTGCAATGTAAAAAGCAGATTAACTAATACATGAATAACTAAACGTTTCAATTGCATAACTAATACCTGCATAAAATGATTTTTCTTATGACTAAACCCTATATTACTAATAATATCATATTCTTGATAGAAAACGCTACCTCCCCAATAGATTTTACACACGTAATTTTGAATTACTCGAGCTGCAATGAGGATACCAAACACCAGATAGAAAATCAACACCGATAAGAAAATTAATAAATTAAGGCTAGCTATAATAACCTAAGGATTCTTATGAGAAACCTATTTTTGATTTCACAACCTTTCTTTCATGTCTTGAAAGGACAATTATATATATTGGTATGTCAAATCAATTTATTTTTAACCCATTTCATAGCTTGTGGCCTTGTATATGTCCTCAACTTGAATGTCCTCAAGGTTGAAATTAACTTGGATTTTCCTCGTCCACACCTAGTCATGACCAATTTTGATCGATACCTACGTTTGATTTTTTAAAAAATTTCCCTATGATTTTTTATGTCATGTCAAATCATTTTTTTATATATACTAGATTTTAGAAACGTGTGTTGCACATGTATATCTAAGACCAATTAACTATTGCATCAAAATGTTCCTTCACGTGTATATCAAAGCAGAATAGTGGTACCTCAAATTTTGATGAATTTCAAACTCACTCAATGACTACAAAAGTTAGAGGAAGAAGAGTAGAAAATTAAAAACATGCATAGTTTAAAAGTGAGAGGAAACCACTCTATTTATAGCTAACAATTAACAAAGGACATTATCAACCAGTGTTTATCATGTCTTATCAGAAAAATCACAATCCTTCAAAAAAATCACAATTCATCGAAACAATCACAACCCTTCGAAATAGTCGAAGGTATTATAATAATTTAACATTCATAGCTATAAGAAATTCATTTTTTAAGATATTATTATAGATTATCTAAATAAGACGAATTCAATGCATTAAACTTTCACAAAAGAGCCGTAATATTTGAGCGTACAATTAATTCAAAAATTAAAAGTAATGATTGGAGTAACGTATAAACAATATCAATTTCATTAAAAAAATAAAATTGTTTTACACTTTAAGCATGTGTAAATCAGAAAAGTGTAATATGTTTAAAGGTAAAAATTTCAAAATTCTCCATAAAAGATTGAAAATAATATTGTTTTTTTAATCGAATGAAAGTAAACATATTGCAAACCTTCACCGTTAATACGAGGTTTCAAATTTTATTCTCGAAAATAAAAAAAAAATCTTGAAACCCCTAGGTAGGAGTAAAGTCTGCATAAACTCTCCGCTCTTTAAACTTCACTTTGTGAAATTATACATCATAGCAATTTTAACAAGTCTTGCGCATTACAAATTTGAATTAGTCGGGAACCAAACATAGGTAAAAGAATTAAATTTTGAAATTTTTTTGCATTAAAAGGATAGCCCAGAAATCTCGCTGAGAAAATTGACAGCAACAGAAAATTAAATTCATAGGCAGTGCCCTATATATATGCTTGTCTATTTAGCTTTCTTAATTTAGAAACTAAATTGTCCTTTTTTTTCTCAATTTTATTTTTATGGTAATTTTCACTATTTGTCCTAGAAATATTGACAAAATTAAATTTTTAGTCCATGTGATCTAGTTACTGTTTATCAAATTTTAATCCTTGTGATCTAGTCCTACAAATAGAGTATACGCAAATTTTATCCCTATATCAGAAATAGAGAGGTTGTTTATAATAGATCCTCGGTTTAAGGGAAAAATAGTTCAGAAAAAATAATAAAAAATAGAAGAACAAGAAATAACAGATAGTAACAAAAAAAATAATCAAATAGTAACTAGAAAGTAACTACAACAAAATCATAAGATAGTCGAAGTACAAGACAACAAATAATAATGGAAATCGAAGAACCAGAAACTACAAGAGCAATACTATAATTACTAGTATGGACGGATAACAAGACAATGCATTATAACCTACTAA